GATTACTTTGCCAACAAAGGTCTGTCTAGTCAAAGCTATGGTTTTTCCAGTAGTCATGTATGGATATGAGAGTTGGACTATAAAGAAAGCTGAGTGCTGAAGAATTGATGCTTTTGAACTGAGGTGTTGGAGAAGACTCTTGAGAGTCCCTTGGACTGCAAGGAGGTCCAACCAGTCCATCCTGAAGGAAATCAGTCCTGAATATTCATTGGAAGGACTGATGCTGAAGCTGAAACTCCCAATACTTTGGCCACCTGATGTGAAGAACTGACTCACTGGGAAAGATCCTGATGCTGGGAAAGACTGAAGGTGGGAGGAGAAGGGGATGACAGATGATGAGAGGGTTGGATGGCATCTCTGACTCAATGGACATGAGTTTGAGTAAACTCCGGGAGTTGATGATGGACAGGGAAGCCTGGTGTGCTGCAGTCCATAAGATGGAAGAGTCAGAGTGACTGAACTGAACTGATACATGTATCAGTTTGGCTTAGGTGCCTTCCGCCCCCTGGGGCGTGTGAGATCATAGTTCCCCAACCAGGGACTGAACCCACATCCTCTGCATTGTAAGATGGATTCTTAACCACTGGACTACCAGGGAAGTCCCAATGACCCATTTGTGTTGTATAAAATCAAACTCCTGGAATGTATACACACACACACTTATGTAGAAAAAGATCATAAATGTCATAAACTATGGTGTTAATAATAATCTCTCAGGATTGGGGTTGACAGATAGTAAGGAACAATGTCACATTTTATTTTATACTCTCCTGACACACTTGAATATTTTAAGAATGAGTTAGTTTTGCAAAGTTAAAAAAAAAAAAAATCCACCACTGGGAATTGCCTGGCAGTATAGTGGTTAGGACTCCGTGGGGTTCAGGTTCTCAGGTCCCATATGCCATGTGACACAGCCAAAAAAATAAACCCCCAAACACACTACTTTTCTAAGTGCGATGTTCTAGGAGCAGTTCCTTTCTGAATATAAATATGGGGATGTTTAACAAGGATGGGGTAATACTCAACGGGGCTTCTATACCTTGAGAAAGATGTATTACAAATGATCTCAAAAAAAAAGAAAGAAAACAGGATTACAAGGTTTTAAATTAGAAGCTGAAAAAAATAAAAAAGGTAGTGAGGTGAGAAGAAACTTGAAGAAAACCAGGTAGAAGAGCAAATGACTGACTTTAATGCAAGAAACAGGATATAGGATTTTACCATTGGTCAGTGGTTAACAACCCGCCTGCCAGTGTAGGGGATCTGGTTTTGAGCCCTGGTCTGGTGAGACTCCATGTGCCATGGGGCAACTAAGCCTGTGTGCCACAACCCTGGAGCCCACGCTCTAGAGCTGATGCTCCACAAGAGAGCTGCCCCCACTCATGGCAACCCTGCACAGCAATAAGGTCTCAGCACACCCAAAAATAAATACATACATAAAGTACAAAATCATCTATTTAAAAAAAAAAGAAAGAAACCAGGTAGAGTGTTCTGCAGGTCTTAACAAAGGTCTAGTGAAGGCAGTGGGGGAGGGGGGAGGGGGGTAGAAGGATTAGATTGGGAAGGAAATGAATTCTCCTCACAAGAGGATGATAAACATGGGCCTGGGGACTTTTCAGTTAAGAGAACTCCTGTCTTAACCAGGATGCTGTTTTATGATAAGCGATGCTCTCTGGATGTGAACTAGTGCTTTAGGAGATTCACCTCTACTCTCCTCTCATCTGCTCTCTGTGCAGATCCAAGGCCATCTTTGTTAAGTTCAAACCTGAGCTGGTCACCAGCCCCTCCCCCAGCACACATACAGCTTGTGGAGGGGTGGGGGTGGGAGTTGGGGTCGGAACGGGGTGGGGGTGGAGGTGGGGGTCGGGCGGAGTCCGGTTACACCCTCCAGTGGCCACTTATTACAGCAAAGTCTAAAATTCAAAATAACCACCCTCACGGCCCAATGGCCCCTCAAAGCGCTCTCTTTTCCATTTTGAACCATGTTCTCTCCCTCTTTGGTCAGTTAACCCCTCTTCCTTATGCAGTCATAACCTTCCTCAGTCTGCCTAAAACCCCGATTACTTTCTCTCACAATGCCCTGTGCTTCTGCTTGAAATGGAGTTTGTAAGTATTTGGCCATTCACTTTCCCCCACTAAACTATACGTGTTCAAGACCAGGAGCAGGTGTTTCTAGTCCCAGGATACTGGCCCAAAGTGGTCCTCAATGTGTTGAAGGAATGAATGTGTCACAGCCTTGACTATGACACATGTAGGAATTAGCAGCCTTTTTGAGCTCTTTCCCTTTCACCTGTAGGATCCTAGGCGATCATAGGGAATTTCTTCCCTGAGAGATAAATATACTTGAAATGTCAGTGCTTACAAGTATGGTGTGGCATTTAGAGGGCCCTGCTGTGCAGACCGAGTTATGATTCCTCAACATGACAATGCACACTTATCAGTTAGGTGGAAAGGTAGCAGTCACATGCAAAACTCCAGTATTTACTGTTAATACCATAGAAAGTGGAGGCAAGCGGCCAGTGTGCAACTGAAGCCAGAGGACACTGCTTAACTGGTTAGAACTGCCTAGATCCAAGATGGCGGAAGCCTCAATGCCCAGTGTACCTTGCGCCTCCTTATTCACTCATTATAATAATTAGCTCAATGACACGCCCACCAGCACCATGACAGTTAATAGAAATTCCAGCCCTTCCCAGCACTACCCCACTCAAATAGATGGAATAATCCTGCCACTCATTAGCGTATGAAATTACCCACCCCAGGGAATTTCTGGCAGTCTAGTGGTTAGGACTCCGCACTGTCACTGCCGTGGCCTGTGCCTGTGTGCACTCTAAGTTGCTTCACTCCTGACTCTGTGCGACCCTATGGACTGCAGTCTTCCAGGTTCTGTCCTTGGAATTCTCCAGGCAAGAATACTGGAGTGGGTTGCCATGCCCTTCTCCAGGGGATCTTAGGACCCACGGATTGAACGTGCGTCTCTTACATTGCATGCCTCCTGCATTGACAGGCAGTGCGAGTGTAACCTGGGAAGCCCACAGGACATGGCCAAAAAAAAAATTATCCAGGCCATAAAAACTAACCACCCCATATTTCTGGGTCTCTCACCTACGGAGACTGCCCACACTCCACACTGTAGTGAGTGTTTCACCTTTGGCTGCTCTCACTTTCTGAGATCACGTGCCTTAGGGTCTCTCTTGCCTTTTGAGACAGACTGCGTTCTGTCTGTGGAATGTGTATTGCTCTAAAGAAGTCCACTCTTACCTATGACTCTGTCTCCCACTGATTCTTTCTGCGATGAGACACAAAGAATCTGAGTTTTATGAAGTTCTGAGGCCAGGTATGTGATCTCACTTCAAACACAGTGGATTCAAGTCCCAATCTGAGTTGTGTTGTTCTACCACCTTGCTGAGATCTATATGCTTTCAAAAAGGCCTTGCCCTTTGGCTCGAGTGAACACCTGATGTCTTGTGTGGTGTGGAGAAGTAAAACCACATCACTCCTGCCCTGACAATGAGCACAATGATTAAAGACATCACTGGGTGAAACTTGTCAAAACATTTTCACAGAAGGCCCACTCCTGCAAAAAGAAAAAGAAAAACAAATAACTGTAGGAAGGGGCCAACTTTGTTAGAAGTTTGTAATTACACATACTGCAAAAGCACTAGCATCTTATTGTGCTGAATACCCCCATGCTGACGATGTTGAGGGATAAGAAAATTCTCCTGGAAGAACTCGGAAGGGACTTTCACAATTGATGCAGACCACGTGAGGTGGTCTCACACTGGCTCCCCAGAAGGAAAAATCCTGAGAACTCTAATTGACCCTCAGTACCTTCTCTGTGGTGTGACCATTTATGACAGGCAAAGAATGTGTGCAATTTAAGGGTTTCACAAATAGTTTCCCATTGTCAGTTAAGCCAGGGACCAATCTAGATACCATCTTTAGCAAAAGAGAGTTTTGGGAAGTGAGCACTGTCTACAATCACCATGTTGGTGACAAAATAAAGCAATATACTATCACACACGATACTTTTTGAGTTCTTAGGAACTCAGGTTCTGTAGGTAAATCCTAACTACTAAGTCGTATGAGGCAACAATCCAAAAACTGTAAGGAAACTGGAAAGGATTACAAAATATATCATCAACCAGAATACATGCAGAGTCACTCATTGACTGCTTAGCCTTTTCATCGAGTTAAAAGTATGTCTAACTTCACATACATCTCTATCACCAAAAGATACGTTTTGAGGCTATTTTCATCTTAACTTTAACAGCATTGTATTCTGGATTCCTATTTTAAAACACTGGTCACTGTAATTTTTATACTTGTGAAGTAGTATGAACCACATTGTTTGCTAACTTTAAAATAGAAGGCCTTCTTCTCCATTTTAATAGAGAAAATACTTCTTCGTTTTGATTGGAAAATAAACCAGGACAATAAAAAGGAGTAGATTGGAATGCAGAAAATCCTCCTTAAAAGAAGTTTAGTGTTATTTACTGAGGATTTTTCTGATTGTCAGAGGTGTGCTAATCACTTTGCATTTCCTTTCACCAACTCTATGACATCGGCCCCTTCAAAGATGAGGAAACTGATTCTTTAAAAGAGGTTAAGGAACTGGCCCAACATTACACCATTAGGAGGCAATGAAATTCTTAGCTTAGCAGGTTGTGCTTTATCACTAGGGTTCCATGCAATACCATGCAGCTCAAACTTTCATGTGCATTACATGGGGATCTTGTTAAAGGCACATTCTGACTCAGTAGGTCAAGAGTGGGGCTTGAAACTTTGCATTTCTAATATGCTCTCCAATGATGAGGTGGCAGTTGCTCTACAGACTGGATTTTGAGTAGCAATGCACTATACTACTGAAAGACCATCATCTCTTCCCTTTCAACAGAATGGTATGATAGTTCATTGCACTGGGAGCCAGACACTCTTACTTGGTTACATGACCCTGATACATATGAGACAACACAGAGACAAAGATATCAATCCAGAAGCAATCGTGGTTATGGAATGCATACATTTCCATGTATTTTTACAGTAAAAATGCATTAAAAAATCTTTCACAAAAGAAACTTAAAAAATACAAGTAGGGTGTTAAGTCCTCCCCACGACATTCTTTCAGGCATCAACTGTCTCATGGGTGGGAGGGGAGTTCCTAAAGGGTTTGATTTCATCATACAAAATACTCATTCATATCATCTCTCATCAAGACATTTACATGAAGTGGGGAACTAGGGAAAGTAGGCTCAAAAGAATCAGTCTCCAATTTAAGGTTACAGTAGTTCAGAGAAAACTCTATCTTTCTGCTTAGTGTATAGGCCCTGTACAGTACGATATTTTCAAAGTATGAAACTCAGATGACACTGCCACGCTAAAAGTCTTCACGGATAAAGCCAAGCCCAGGTGGGTAGCACATAGATTTTAACATGTCAAACATCTCTGACAACAAGAAAGACACTGAGATGTTAACTTCATGATCCACTCCAAAAACCCACCTCTTGATTTCATTTATTTAAAACTCTGGACCACAATTGAGAGCATCGATCATTTAACATCATGGATTTGGCTAGAATAAGTGGGAGAATTCCTAGCAGTGGAGCCTTAGGAATAAAATCCCTAGTTGGCTCTTAGGAAATTGATGAAAAAAGAACATCATTATTCAGTTGTGTTCTCCCTCACCATACTACTGTAGCTCAATGTATGCTCTGTATGGAAAACTCTGAAGATAAAAATAGCAGTCTCAGACTTTTTCCTCTGTTTTAGCTATAGAATGTACATTGTGTCTGTTCCAGGAAATGAACTTGGTTTGTGCTTATCCACAGAAGGACAGCTACTCATTGTAATGTTGTATAAACCCATAAGTCAAATAAAGCTATGAACAATGTAATATTTATATATGCATAGTGTTTTATAAAAAGATTGGCCCACATACTGCTTTTCATCAATACAGAAAGAGCATCAAGTCCACAGCACACTGCAAGAAATGAATGAAGAACAGAAATGCAAACAAGTGCTTAATAATTCACAAGCAGGCTCACCATGGAGGAAATGATGATACTCAAACCAACTAAAGCTTTAGAGAATTACTTATATAGTCTCCCATTTTTAAAACAGCTTTACATACCTGATTTAGTTTACAGTAAAATATATCCCAATGAATCAATTTGTTCCATATTCAGAAATATAAACACATGTCACATTCCTCACAGCTAATTTTTTTGTCATAAATTCTCTTTTATACAAGAAAAAAAGGCAACAGTTGTTTGTTTTTAAAACAGGCTCTATTAATTACAATTTTAAACTCTGTACATAAGATAATTGGCTGGTTTTCTCCATTTTTTTTCTTTATCCTTTTTTTTTTTTTTAAAACAGTACCATGAGAACAACAGTGATTGACTTGCAAAGTTTTGTGTCTGTATGGAAAATGCAAAACAGTACTACGGAAATACGCAATGCATCATAAGCAGCGATTGGTTGTAGTGGTCCAACAGGTACAAGCAAGGGTTTTGGCTCAGCTAGGCAGTAATTCATTTCAACCACAACCCGGGGCTATAGCCGACCCAACCAAACCTCCTGTGAGATAGCAAAAGAATGTCTTCTATTAAAGAAAAATTTCTATAGTTTGTTCTGTCCAAAGATTCAAAGGACAGGGTCATAAGTGCAGATGTTTGTCAACCAGGTCTAGAACCAATGAAATCGAATCCTTCTCTTTCAACCATTTTGGAGATTTTTATTATGGTTCCAAAGAAAACTGGCATTTCTAAGAATGAGCATGCCCAACCCTCATTTCTTTAAATATCAACAGAGAAGTTCCTTCTACCAAGGCTTACTCCCTTCTCCCCAATTTGACAAAGGGCAACCACAGGCTCATGATAAAAAGGGGAAACTTAGCTTTCTGTACTAGTGATTCTTAGGGCTCCTCACACCGGCACATTGTCTCCCATGCAGTCTACTATTCAGTCTCAAATCAGTCAAGACAACACCAAAGGTGTTTGCTGTGCATTCCTTCTAGTAGTTGAGCAAAACTTTCATGGCACTGCCTTAATGAGATTCTCATTCAATGTTGGTGATGCTAATGAACCTGACCATCTGTGTTTGGGCTGCATTTAGGTAATGGTGACCAAACTTCTCCTCTCTGCACCTTTCTATAGCTAAGGAGAGTACAAACTGTTTTCTGAACAGACAATAACTTGAGAACATAATATTTCTTTGTGCTTTGTGCTGTGTCCTTTAGCTATAAATATCCTTCATTTGCAACAGTAGTCTCTTCATACAGTTTGCTTAACTTTAGGATCATCAGCAATCCTCATTCATTCCAAAGAGTCCTCAGCTTTTACAAATATAACTTTTGCCTTTTTGCTTTTTTTATTAAAAAAAAAAAAAAAAAAAACCAACCCACCAAACTCCTAAACTACAGCACTACATCAGTACATAACAGTCTCCATCAAATTAATTAAATTTGATCAATAATTTTCCTTACTTAGAGAAAATGATCAACAGCCCCATTTAACCAGGAGAGAAAAAGATCACACCCCCCCCCAAAGGGAACAATTCTTAACAATTCTACAGTTTATGTAGAAACAAAATTTATATCCCTTTGGGGGAAGCATTTAGCAAATAATTTCCCAAAAAAGTATGCATTTAAAAATACTTTCTTTAATATGATACATCAGGCACAACACTTTTCATATATATATTTTTTTCTTATAAGATTTCAAATGCATCAAATGTCGCTAGTCAGAGGATCATCAGGCTGACGTCAGATGCTTCATTAGGTAAGAAACTAAAATGATTTCAGGTTTGTGAGCTTCCTCTTCGAACCTTTGACATGGTAAAGGCTGGAAATGTGACGCAGGCTCTCAGATACTGAGGTCGGTGCTACATTCTTTGTAAGGTCTTCTTCGCTGCTCCGGGGGATGTCTGGAACTCCGGCCGGCGTCCTGTCTTAGACTCGTCTCGTCCCTCTCCCGGTGGCTGCCTCTGTCCTCTTTGTTTCTTTTCTCCAGGGACCGCTCTCTCCTCCGCTCAGGGGACTTGGTCCGCCTCCGGTCGGTGGATTTGGCTCTCCTTTCGGGCGAGCTTCCTCTCTTGCGCTCGGGCGATCTTCTCTGATCCAAGAGTCTCTCCAGAGACCGCCGCCGCCGGCCTGGAGAGCCGTCCCTCCGGCGGGTCGGGGACCGCTCTCGCCTCCTCTCCGGGGAAACCTCCTTCCTTTTCTCCTGCTTCTCCCTTCTCTCCAAAGTGTTGTCAGCGCTGCGCGTGCCTTCCCTCCGCTTCTCCGGAGACCTCCTCTTGGGGCCATTGGTCACCATCCGCTCGGGTTGGGCGTCTCTTCGTCCCTCGGGTGCCCGGTCTTTGGGTCGGCAAGCCCCACTGTCGGGTTTTCTAGAAGTTCCATTCCATGTGTGATGTTCATTGGGTTGTCTGCTATACTCTCTGCTGCCTTTGGGATCTCTCACGTGTGCCCGCTTTTCCCCATGTGGTGATGATTTGTGAAGATCGGGTGGGTAACTGGACTCCAATGATGGATGCTGTCGGTGGTCAGGGGGCCCAGCCCTCATTTCCGGAACACCTTGTGGACCGGTGGGGGGGCCGTTCCCGTCGCTGCTGGGGTCTGCCAGGAAGAGAAACGAGAGTAACAGTTTGGTATCAAGGACCTTGGCTCCTGTCCCCACCGCCCTCTTGAGACCCCATTAGTCACAACAAACAAACAACTGTTAAAAGCAGTCAGAATCAAAGCCAAACTGACTCTTAGTTAAAGTGTAACTGCAACTAGCCAGGGTTAAAAACTGGTACTTGTGGCTTTTGGCAGCTAGCCTACTATCTTTATACTCATATAGATCATTCAACTTGTAACATCAGTCATGAGTTTAGTCTTTAAAGGAATAACCCAAGTAATCTGTCTACAAGTATCAAAATGGCCTTCCCCCTTAGTATCTCCTGTTCTTTCTTCCCCCAGCCATCACCCTTCCTCCCCTCACCCCATGACAGAAAATATTCCTTTGTTTAAAGATTGTTTTAATTTGCTTACAAAAATCTGGGCTGTTGAACTGGAGGGGCATGAGGGAACTTTGTAAGGGAATGGAAAGAATCTATGTTTTGATCTGAGTGGGGATTAAATGGGTGCATAGAGAGGTAGAAATTCACTGCTCTGGACCCTCAGGCTTTATGAATGCTACTGTAAGCAAAGTATACTTTCATTAAGGGGGAAAAAAAAGAAAGCCAGGCTGGTGATGACAGAGGCAACACAGCCAGATGTTGACGACAGGCAAATGTGACATTATGGGAGGGTCCATTAAACATTCTCTCTACCTGTGTGAGTGCTGTCCAACTATTTTCTTTATTTTTGCATATGTTTAAGGAACTGTTTTTAAGCTGTGGGGTCATCTGACAGATAAAAGGAAGTGGAAGAGAGGCTGTCACGTGCACATTTGACATTACATGGGGTTGGCATAGAGGCACGTTTCTTGATGCTATAAAAGCAGCCATAATTTCATCTAAGGTGGATTCACTGGGCGACTTTTTATAACCTTAAGACATCTATAGACTAAAAAGCAGGGGAGCCCCATAAAGGCTCCTGTTTATTGTTAAGCTATCTGAAATGACACTGCAAAAACATTAAATAGCATCCTGGATTTATGAGAGTTCTTTTCAAAGCTTTGTCATACCTAAACCCAGTAAGTCATACATACTATCCCATTCCAGGCTAGGCACCAGAAATGATGTGCTGCAGCACAGAGGACAAACCAGGCCACAGTCACAGAGACCAAGGAATCATGGGTGCTCTTTAAGGATCTTTCATGAGTCAACAAGGTCAACATTAGGCAATTAATCTTTCACAAATGATCTCCCAAAACCTAGAGTAAGTTTTAACAAAAACAGGAACATAGCCTAAAGCAGGAATCAGTAAACTTCTTTCTGTAAAGGGCCAAAGAGTAAAATATTTATGGTTTTTGCATGCCACATAGTTTGTCACAACTGTTCATCTGCCACGATATGGCAAAAGCAGCCATAGACAGCACATACAAGAAATGGGCATGGCTATGTGCCAATAAAACTTTACTTATCAATTCATAAACAGGCTGTGAACAAGATTTGGCCCCTGGACTGTCATTTGACAAGAGATAACTAAGTAGGAAATCTCATCTTCCTGTTTTAGCAGAGTTTTATCTCTTTAGGTGAGAGCTTTGTGATCTGAGATTTGTTCTTTTGGAATGCTGGGGAGATGTCTAGAAATACCACACAGAGGCTTAAGAAGTCATTTTAAGATCTAGGTGAGGGAAGGGGCTTCAGTGACCATCCTAAATCTAACCTTGGGGTTTTCTACACCTATATGTAAGAGAAGGGAGAGTAAGGCTTTCAGAGTCAGTGGTGTACTTACAATTCAAAGAACGCAGGGTGCTCAGAATGAATTGCCAAACATATCAAAACAGAGCTAAAGCAGAAGCAATGAGGAAATTAGGCCACAGCACAGAAACACCTAGTATTGATTGAGCTACAAACCGTAGTTTGATTATGGCCCATAAGGTAGAAGCAAGCCTCCCCGAGCTTTTCATTTCTCATACATGCAGCGATATTAGGAGGTATCATCGCTGTAGAAGGGAGGGCCCAGCACCAAGAACAGTCAGAGAAGAGAGAGAAAGAGAGAAAGAGAAAAAGTTGAACATTTAGATTCCCTATAACAAAGAGGAAAGAAAAAAAAAATCTGCATTTGTTAACATAGGGTAAAGAGAGTTTATTTGTCCAGTCAGACAGTCTAAGGCAACACTCAAATAAGGCTGCAGAGACCAAAATCAGAACAGTGACGTTTTCAGACAGCCAGATAACGTGAGAGAACCCAGACAAAGGATGCATCCTTTTTTTTCTTTTACTTTCTTTCTTTTTCAAACAACTGGAACAATGACAGGCTGGCATAAGAGAGCATTAACAATAAACAACAAAAGAACAAAGTTCCCTCCCTCCCCCTCCCCGCCCCCCAAGACCGCGGCAGTTAAATTAAGTACAAAAAACTCATTACAAAAATAGCCTCACAGAGAAGCAGGTTCCAATCAAGTCAGAAAAATATTGGAACTTAACATATTATAACCCATTTGTGACTCTAATCAATAGAATTAGAGAAATTTAGTCCCAATGACACATGGAGACGTTACAGTAGCACAACTCTGGCACATTCAACCCTTTTGGGAAAAAAAAAAAAAACGGTGTATTGAAATGATCTTTATTTTTAGCCCAAAGAACATTGGTTAGTGTTGGATTTTCATCCTCAGTGCAACAGACATAGGTTTTGAGAAGGTACACAGGTTACTGATGATGACTCGCAAATGAAAGATCACATCCAACAGAAGCATAGGGAAGACAGAAAAGGGAGACAATGTTACACAGTTTCAGTGGCATCGATACACCTACAGTCAAGGTTTAGTACAGTGCACAGTTGTGGCATCTTAATGTTGTCAAAATACTTCCCCTGTGGTTGGGCATGTCTAAAGGGGCCTCATCAGATACCCACCCCTCCCCCGCCATGGGCCCCTTATTATTTTGCACCTGTATGGATGTCCAACACCTGGGGAGACTGTCCTTCAAAGGAGTTCTCCTTCTCCTTGAGCTGCATCTGAATTAAGGATCTCATCAAGTCCAAAATGCAACTGGGAATTGTGCCAAATGACTTTCAGAAAAAAGGGCAATAACAGATAAATCCCTAATAAAGGGGACCGATGTATATGGGGACCATTCAATCACAGTTTCTATAGAAACTTTTGTAGACCTTTGGTTGGGAAGAAGAGCCCTACATCTAGGGCATAGCTTTTTTTTTTCCTTTAAATTTTAAACAAGAATCTCAAATAGGACATAATTATTATAATATACAATATTTCGCCATCAGAACACTAAGCTATGTAAAGATCATTGCTGTTTAGTCAAATCATGTCTACAGATATGACAAAGGAACTCTATGCATAAGTTGGCTTTCCTCACAGGAAAGGTATAGTAACATGTTTCCCTCATGATGGGCACTGGGAATTGATTTCATCCTTTATCATCTAAAAACATATGGCTAAAGTTTCAACAGTTTTGTTTGTTTTGTAGTTGTGGGCTCAGGTGGTCTGATCTGGGGTAGGGACCAGTAGGAGGGATGCAGGAGAACTGTATACCCCTCCTTGATGCTGAGCAAGGCCCCCAAATCATCTCCAAAATTCATGCCTCTTAAATAAAGGTATCAAGTAATCAAAAACGAGAGAGGAGAAAAAAAAATTGTGCCTCAACATTATCACTCAGGAAACCTGCTTTCCTGCTTCTTAAAAGGAGTAGAGTCATTTTGTGCTAACAATTGGATCTGAGAAACGGTTTGGCACAGTTCAAACAAACATTCCTTCGCTCTTGGTCGGACTAGACAAAATGTTCTCTCTGATTATCAGAAAGGGGGCTATATAAAGATCTTGTCTTAGACCATGCCCCAGTCCACGTGAGCAAGCAAAAGGATGAAATGTGTAGAGATTTCAGAACAAGCGAGGCAAATAATCACATGGTGCAAGAGGCTGGTAAGACACTGGTGAATAGGGGAAACAAAAAGACTTTCCTGCTGCAGTTCTGGAGACAAATTCATGGAGTCATGCCAGGGAAGGAAGGAATGTTTTCATAGTTTGACCCACCATATTCTGGGACCGAGCCGTCTCCCCGCTTCAGAAACAGACGCACTCTGCGGCCACCATTCTTAATCAGTTCTATAGCCCGAGAATGCTTCATGTTTTTGGTGGTCTCACCATTGATCTCTAAAATCTCATCACCAACCTGCCAAAAAGAGAGAGACAAGTGAGAAGATCACCAAAGGGTTTCATCAGCTATGGAGGTGCTTTATGATTTCAAATTCTTCCACTTACTGACTGACCAACTACTCATTGAACATGTTCCAGAAAAATCTTCTATTACTTAGGAAACAGAAATGAAAAAAAAAAAACAAAAACCCAAACTCTCTGTCCTCAAGGAGATGACATTCTAATATGGGAAATACAATACAACAGGCAACTTAAAAAAATACATGGTATGCTAGATCGTGTAAGTGCTAAGGTAAAAAAATAAAGCAGAGGGAAATATAAGTTACTGAAGGAAAAGGATGTGGTCAATAGCTTCTGGAATGGCCCCCAATGATCCTTGCCTACTTGAATTCATATCCTGTGTAATCTCCTATCCTTTGGATGTGAGTTGGAATGAATGACTTGCTTTTAACAAACAGAACATGGTAAATGTGATGAGAGGTCAAAGATAAGGTTACAAAATAATTTTGGCTTTTGCCTTACTGGCCCTCATTTGTCATCTCACTTTTCTATTCTGATGCCTGTTGTGAGATGCCCTACAGAGCCTATGGTACGGAAACGAGAGAGGGCTCGGGTCAACAGCCCAAGATGCACTGATCCTGACAACAACCATGAAGCTTTAGAGGCAAATCCCTCCCTAGAGGAGCCTTCAGATGAGACCACACTCCTGGCTGATACACTTAACTGCTAATACATTGGAGGTAAAGGAGTGAACAAGATAGGCCAGATACGTCCTCTTGAGAAGCACATATTCTAGAAGGCAGAAGAGAAAAAGATTGGTGCTGGAGTTTAAAGCACTGAATTTGAGTCCTATCACTTGATAGCTAAGTGATCTTGGTTAAGTCCTCTACTTTTTTGCAGTTCATTTCCTCATCTGACTAAGGGTAGGGTAACAATTCATGCCTAAAATGTTGAAGTCCAATTAAATGTTACAGTATGTCAGGTGAACTATGTAACATTATACAAAATATCATAATAATGGTATTTCTTTCAATCAGAAACTTTTTTAAATGAGTAAAGGGAAAAGCAAAATCCATGTGTTTGGAAATATGAACAAAAGGACTATATACCACTGTATATGCACAAATTATGCATGTGTATGTATAGAGGAAGGATATATAAGAAATTGATACATAGTTTGACCTTGGAAATTATATTCTTACTATGCATCATTTTTTTATCTAATTCTAAAAAATCACATTCCTGGTCTATTTTCTCAATTTAAAAAAAAGATTATTTAAAAAATTCAGTCTTCAGAAATATAAACTTCAAGATTCTGTCTTAAGTTACAAGTATTAAATTCCTCATCTTTGGTCACTTTTCCCCCTTTCTGCTAAGGACTCATTTTATTCACTTTTTTCCTTTCCTGATCTGACTCTCAAATTCTTTTAATTCCTTCCAAATTGCTCCCAATGTCTCAATCTATGCCCCCTAGATATAATGAGCAAATGATTTTTTTTTTTAATCATTTGATCTGCCCATAAGAGCAACATATTCATATGTGGTAAGAGATATTAGATATCGAAACAGAACACAGTGGGTTTTTGGCATGTGTGCATTTAAAATTTGCATTATTGAGTACTACCAAATGATCTTGAATATTCATGCTATGGTGTCCTTGGCCCACTGTTAAGACAGTTAACTCATTCCTGAGGCCAGAGAAAGGTGGCAGTGACTAGTGAGAGACTGAATGGAGCTCACCACCCAGAACCTACAAAACCATGTGGCTTCCTGCCCTCAAAGCATGCTGGGATACCCAGGAATTCCAGGGAAGTAATACGAGATTAAGTACAAGAAATGAAAAACGGGATTGGGATTTGGAAATGGGATTCAGACAATATCCACTTTAGTAAGTTCATGGGTGATTTTAATCCTTTATTCAACGCCAGAGTTGGAAGAGCTCACCTAATTCTGGTAGATACATCTAAGCTTGAGGGAGAGATGAAAAGCTGTAGAAACATGTAATTCTCACGAGCATGCAGGTTCTAATCGTAAGATGTCACGAAGTCACTGTAGATGACTTATTTACATCCACCCCACATGCCTCTCCTGACTTACCTTCATCTTCCCACACCTTTCCGCAGGACCATCCTCTGCTAAGCGCAGAACGTAGAGGTCCATGTTATACTCTCGACCGCCTCGAAGACTGAAACCAAATCCCTTGGCTCCTCTTTCCAGCTCCACAGTGTAAAAATCTTGCTCCTATTCAAAGAAATTAAACGCAGTTATTCTGGGAGGACTTAAATCGACACACATTTCTCTCTCTCTTCCCAAACACTCTCCATTATGGCTCATTTGACCCAAAGGCAAAATTTGTATTCCCTTCTTGGTGGTTTCTAATTGTTTATTAATATCAATTAACCTTAGGAGTTTAGAGATCCAGAATGTGAAAACATTCATGAGTGTGCATACAGATTGCATACCAACACACATATATTAAAATTTAATCAGTGAGGCTGTGACTTGCATTTGTGACAGGAAAATCCTTCATTAAATAATACCATCCTGCACATTGCTGGTGTTTTAGTCTCCCTGCCCAAGGCCCTAAAATATCTCATCATTTAGATAGCAACAACAAGCTCCACACATCTTGACAGTGGTTCCTATGCTAGTTAAGGAGAACTGGGAAAAGATTAGGAAAGGCTTTGAGAAGGCCAGTGAGGGGGAGGGAAAACAAAAAAAAGACTTAACTCTGTATCACCCAATGTTTCCCAAATCTGCTTCACCTATTATCACTTGTGTACCCTCCATTACCACCTTGTGGGACAGGTAGGTAGCTTTAGGAGCCTCACCTGAAATTCACAAATCTGAGAAACAGCTTAACCAAAAGACATTTTCTTGACATAAGTGCCTTTACGAATACCATGACCAGCTATAGCCTGTTTTGCTCTTTCTCTGATCACCTATTATTGAGTTAATTGATAGCATTTTATTTTGTTTGGTCCTCCTCACCCCCTGCCTCCAGAAAAAGGATGTCTAGGGATATTTTTCAAAGGTAGTAAAATAATGTTATTTACTTGATAACCCAATGTGAGTTGATGTTTAGTATATATTTAGTACATAAAAGGTTATTTATGTTAATTGCGAGTAGCTTATAAGATACCTGGTAAAAAGAGCTTCAGAAAATTGGAAGGAAATGCACAAAGCCAACAAGGCAAAAAGAGACACAGTCCTCACCTGTGTTGCCTGGGGTGCTTTGAATTCAAACTGAGATTCTGGCTTTGGTTTGGTGGTGTTCCTGCCAAAGCAAGAGAAAAAAAAAAATATATATATATATATAAGAGCAACCCATGGAAAGCCTGAGAAAGAATCAAAGAGAAGTACCATCACACCACCAGGAGTTACTTTTTCCCCCTGAAAGTAACAAAAGAAGCCAAAGTCATGTCTGACCTGGTCTCCTGGGCTCCTTGCTGCGAAGGGGTGTGTGTGGTGGTGATGGTGGCTATCTTCTCTGCATTGGTCAGCAGAGTGGCATTCGAAGACTCTGCAGGGTAAGACAGAGCATCATGAAACGAAGGCCCCGGAGAAGACAGTATCAAATCAGATGCGCACCAGCCCCACACCTGAATGACATCTGAATTCTCTCTCACCATTTCAAAACGTTCTGACTTGCATTTCTAAACTAGAGTGTGGTGTGAGCCATGTACACCCCCATGACACTCCTCCAACCAGGTATCTCCACAAATGAAATAAAGAGTTTGCCCAAGAAAATGGTACTTTAAAAATCATAGCCAAGGTAGGTGCCTTTCACTTTTCCCCCATCACTTTAAAAGGGCAGTCCCATCAAATCACTGCAAAATTATTTCCCAGACTTTTACAGGCTAATAATAAATGTCTCTGCTAATGTCCCTGCAATTTATTGGTGATCTTTAGTGAGTCTGCTTAATTTCCTCATGTGAATAGTCAGTGTTCTAACTTCTTGCTACTAATAAATACACATCCAGAGAACATCTACTTTCTTCTCCAAAGCTTTTAATGAAACACAACTAAAAATGTGGAATCCTTGTGAGATCTTGCCTAGTATCACTCATGAAGAGTTATTTTTAAAACTTGCATTAGTCAGAGCCAGTATGTAAATCTAAGTTGTACAAATCAGGAAGCCACCCTAATGTAACAAATATGATTATATTCTTATGTAAATTGACTTTCTTCTTCACTAAACACATTCATAAACAACTTCATTAATCTCTGGGAGCTTGGAAACCTAGGATTTGAAAACACTCATGAACATGCCTACAAACTGCTAACTGACATGCATATATAAACATATATTAAAATAATTTACATAGTATCAGTCTTATGTTCTTTTACTATTTCTCCATTAAGATCAAGGCAGATAGTAAACAATGATGACTATGTTGCACTATTTGAATTTATTTTTAGATTGACAGTTTGGAACCTGCCACACATTTTCTAATCAAGAAAATGATAATGTGGGGGTGAAGTTCTTAGGTTAGCCTATAAACTACCCCTTTACTTCACACTGTGCCATGAAGTCTAGGAGTTTCTAGGTGTTCTGAGGTTGGCAGTAGGCACTCCATAGTTTGTGGAATACATGTATCTACCCATCATGTATAACCAAGTTTCTATGGATATCTCACTAATCCCACTTATTTGTGCTCTATCTTCCATTGTACTTTGCTAAAAATGCTACTCAGCTTAGGTCTGACTTTCTGTTATTCTATTTTCATTACAAATAGCTGTTAAAAGCAAAGGGCTGGAGATCAGACCCAGGTTCAAATCTCTTTGTCCTTGACTCATTATCTGTATGTCTTCTTTTCCTTGAAAGGGATGATGACAATAATCATCCCTTTTCTTGGATTAAAGTATATGAAATGTTTAGCACTGTATCTGACATATAGTAAGCACTCAATATACACTGACTACAGCCAGCGCCCTTGCTATTTCTATGTTGTATTTATTACTGTGGAAATGTGTTTAAGTTTTTTAAACTCGCTGCAAAATGAGACAGTTGAAATATGATTTTAACAGTTTCTATTCCAGCCCTAAAGCTTATGATCTGGGTAGTGGTGGTGCAAGATCAGTAAGAAAATGTAACTCAATCAGGTGAACAAAAACTGTGAATCCAGTTCATGCTCCAGAACGACGTCTCCCACAGAACCTGTTTTACCAAATGCTGCACTGGAATCTGAGGGAACAGTAATCTGAAGTCAAGTAAGGGTGAAAAACAGTGGATGAAACAGAAATGTTTTTGCGTGTCTGTGTTTTGTTTTCCCCATGGACCCTTAATTGTGCCAGTATACCTTGTGACCCTCCAAGATGGGGATGTGGTGCTTCTCAAGCTTGTCAGTTGTATTGGTTACAAGGTCAGTGGCTAGACTCAGACTACCTGGCTTGGCAACCGAAACTTTGCAATTTACTAGCTGGGACTTGAAGGAAAGTTACTTAGACTTTCTACGCTTGAGTTTCCTCACCTACACATACAGAATAACAGAAGTATCTAAGAACACTGATGCAAAAACGACCTGGGAGGAAAAGCATTTGGGCTCGTGCCTGGCACGTAAAAACTACTCAAAAATTGAAGACCATCTTTTTTATGGGTGGCATGTATTTATTACCATTATCACAATATTAAGAGCATAATATTAGTCTGTTTTTATGACTGCAGTTAACCGGCACAACCACGGTGATAAATCTAAGTCGTATTTCATAAAGTCTACCCGCTGTGCCCCTACAAAGGACTAGTAGACTGCAAAGCTTGTCAGTGTGACTTGCCAGAAGTTTCATAAACATGTATTGGTCCTTTAAAAAAAACTTCATATTATGTACTGTAATTAATTTTATGGAAACTCTCTGGGAAATCACTAGATTGCTTGGGCCACAGGGAAATCACCATCAGAATACCAAAAAGAAAGTTTCCTTGTAATTAGAGTGATTATAATTACTAAATTGTGCAGAGGTTCCCCTTTAGGGTATTGGGTGTTTTTGGTAGCCAGAGTTTTCTAGGCAGATCAGATCCTTTTCTCAAGCCTTTTTAGTACTTCTGCCATTTTCAAGGTTTGATGAGATATAACAGATAACCTCTATTTATTTTCCTCCCATCATTCCTTTGCTATTTTCAAATATTTATATGCAAATCTGTTCTGAGTTGAAGCTTAACGTCAAGCATTTCAGAAATTAACATTTAGTATGCAAATACCTATTTGAGCGAGCCCACTGAATTTTTTTTCTTTTGTTTGTTTTTCTTAATCTATGAAGAACCACCATATTTCAATTATTTCCAATGTGCCACACACCATGTAAGGTTCATTCCCACATGCACAGTTTCATTTCATCCTCATAACTGAAAGAAATAGGTGCAGGTGCAATTAATTACGCCCATTTTAAAGTTGTAGACACTGAGGCTTACAAAAAATAGGCAATATGTCCAGGGTCCTCCAGAGAGCAAGTGGAGGCACTGGCAGTTAAACCCAGGGCATGCCTGACAGTCAACTTTTAGTTTCAATCTGTTCACAAGGGAATTATTCATGGGTCAAGGAAATCGGATCTGATTGGTACATTCCCTTCTTAACAAGCAAGTACTTTTACCTTCCTGTATAAATACCACTAACTTCACTAAGTAGTATCACAGATTAATTAAAATACAAAACACTCTGGTTTCGACTTCTAGATTTCCTGGGTCATTTTCAAGCACTATAACTTTTAGCATACCCTCAATTTCCAGGATGCTTTTTAAAAGATCTATAATGTCATATACTTTTAAATGAGCTTTTAAGTCTTCATTTAGAATCAAACCAAGACAGTGTGTGCTGAAATTCTCTCCAGCTTTTAAAACTACTGAGTTGAAGCCCATCCTCACAAAGTTCTATCTCTATTCCAAAGTAAAATGTCCCCCATATAAAAGAATAAACATAAAAGATGGGTCTGATATAATATACACCCTAGCAACAGTTTTAAAAAGCACTGTCAATGTATTTGACTTGTAGAACTCTTAAGGCAGATGGACAGGTTGACTGTTTTCATGATAAATTCCAGCAAGTGCCCTATGTGTTTCCTTAAACAATGTTTATACCTGCTTTAGCTCTCCCGGAGGAATGAAAATGGATATTATTACCCTTCCCACAGCAATCATGTATCAAGAGGAGCATATCCTAGCTCTCAAGGCACCATCACGGTGCTGTGCTCAATCAGGGCACTAACTTCTGAAAGGAGCTTCTATCTGGGTTTCAACTTATCTCTGTGACAAGTGATTACCATTCTAACCTTGCTCCCATGTTAATATCCTTAGCTGCCCTTACAGAACCACATTACAAGACCAAGCAAAGAGACAACTGATATAATCATTCCATTCATAAATATTTTAATGCACAAACACATATGTAATAAATACCTGAAGGAAGCATTTGAAAATTTAAATCCCATAAATATTTGAAAAGTTTGGGGAGACTTTTAAAATGTGTATGATAGAAACTCTGTTCTTCTTGCCTAAGTATATGCTAGCTATCATATCTACAGGGCTTTCTGTTAAGATAATTAAACTCTTTTAGGCCTTTGCCAAGGAAATGGCACTACCTGTGTCACCAAGCCTTACTTCCTATACGAGTAAATACTTTTAAGTCAGAGAGATGTGAAGTACAAAAATAGATACATAAACATGTATAACTGAATCACTTTGTTGTACACCAGAAACTAACACAGCATTGTTAATCAACTATACTCCAATAAAAAGAAAAAAAAAAATTAAAGAAAAAAGACTTCAGGGAAAAGAGACTATATTTAAATAATGTCTTTTATTTTTATTATTTATTTATTTAGGGTGCACCACGGGGCAAGCCAGGTCTTAGTTCCCCAACCAGGGATTGAACCCATGCCCCATGTAGTGGAAGCATGGACACTTAACCACTGGACCTCCAAGTAAGTCCCTAAATAAGGTATTTTTAAGTTCATAAATACTTTCATTCATTTGAACTTGACTCAATCTGATGATTCCATGAAAGCCTGGCTCAGTCAGGATTAGTCTGATTAGTCCTGACTAGTCCTGGCCCTGTCTGATTAGTCTCACTCACACCCAGACTTCACAGGCTATTTCTATACACTCCATAGTAGGAGGCATGTATGCTCTGACTTGCCAGAACTCAAGTTCAAGTTCAGTATGTTAAGCCAGTCTGTGGGCCTTTCCTATCCATCTGTGCATCTCTCACAGGAGAAGAGGCTCTACCTTCACTCCACTTCCCAGCCTCTTCCCAAAGCTTAGGAGGATGACAATGCCCCTGAATGCGCCTGTCTGAGAACTCTGAACAACACAATAGTGCCCAAATCAAGGGGGGTCATGTTTCAAAGCTTTTGTTGGAGGGGGCTAGCACAGACAGAAAGGTGAGAGGGTAATGGGAGAAAGAGAGTGAGGAGAAAAGTGAAGCTGGAGAATCAGGTGACTGATGACAAGAAGAAAGAACACGAGCATGCTACGTCCCTGGAATCCAGTCGATTATGATTCCATGCTTCCATTGCAGGAGGCATGGGTCAGGTTCCTGGTTGGGGAAGAATTATGATCCCATGTGCCACAAGGCACAGCCAATAGATAGGGAGTAAATTCTGAGCATGGCCCAATCAAGGGTGTGTCGTCCTTTTTTTTTTTAAATTTGATCATTTTTTAGTTAGAAAACTAAAACAGTTTGTAGTAAGAAATTTAAAAAATGGTTATGATGCCTTATGTAAAATAGAAGGAAAAATATATATATAAAAGTCACTTGGGGACTAATGCCAGGTATGGCTTATTCCTTTAAACCATATATTAATATTTTGGTTGTAAATTTCATTTAGGGACATTCTCAGTCATTAAATATATGTGATCTCTCCTTAATTCAAGACTCCATTAATAGTAAATGGGTTATCTCTTAGAGGCATCTTTGAATACACATTTTGCAAATATTTATCCCGAACTGAAATATGACTGACATGACAGGATAAAATCAGAAAACACAAGTATTCAATGACAGTTTGAAAATGATGACTTCAGTTCAATCCTTGTCTGATAAAAATAACCCCCAAGAACTGTTAAAATTGCTCAACCACGTTGTGATATTATTTCAAGACTATCTTGCTTTTTAAGTTTCCCTTTGAGGAACTGTGCAAAGAAAGGATGGGTTAATCTTCAACTCCATAATGAACAAGTAACTAGCCCAGAAACTAATATAAAGTGTTTAGCCTCATCTCCTTCAAATTTGGTCAGCTTCTCTCTGTCTATCTGACTCATATGAGTGCCTCTTCTTGAAGTGGCTCCTTGTGTTTCTGAGAACAGTACCCTGAACAAGATGGATTTCTAAGAGCTCCTAAGCCACTCTGATGATGGACTTCAGTTTTTTTATGAAGATCACTCAACAAAATGTCCCTGGGCTAGTCCATTAAACACAAGAGTGAGAGACTGAAATAGACCAGAACTTCCTGACATGGAGAGAATGCCTTCTTTTTACCTTACAATCTACCATGTCCAGCACACTTTTATGGAGAGGAAGTGGATCCAGCATGATTTTCTCTTCATCAGATTGCAAAGGTCACTCTCTGTTCTATAGGTTTTTGTAAAATCCTCATGGATTGCTTCAGCATCTTTCCAGATGCTGCCTGCCTTCATTCTAGCTTTCAAGATGGCAATTTTTGGCCCCACTTAAAAGATGAGTATTAGAAATCCACTCTCTGTCAGACTTGATTCCCTTTACCTGCACTTTGAAAATGAAAAAGTAATCAGTGAAGAGTTTTATTATAATGGTGGTGAATTCCTGAAATATCTTGCGATGAAATCGCATCCTCAGCAGTACATCTATCCTTAACTACACTGTGTCATCTTTAACATTTACTTTCTTCTTACCAAGACGGCCTGTGATAGCTCTGTTCAAATTTTACACTTTTGAAGCACTGTAGTTTAAAAAAAAACACCATCTTTTTATTGACAAATGTTATTGGATAATCTATCTTGCTTTCCATTTTTTGGTGTTCAGGTTCTCAAAAAATACTTTCCCTTGCCCAATATTAATTTAACTCAACAAGTATGTGCACAGGAGTATAAGTTGCTTCTGCATATTTATCTTTCCTGATTGTGAATTCTTTTCTAAGCTCTTCCCTCAAGGAGCTCTTTCTTTCCTTCCTTCCTTTTTGGAAGTTTTCATTCCCACAGACTAACCAACATAGACTCAGCAAGTTATATCCTGTGTTCATTTCTTTTGAATTAATTTTCTGAAATCCCACCACAGCATGGAAATAAATGTCTCTAAATTTATATACTACATTAGGCTCTCTCCACCATTTGTCACCAAATTTTCCTAGCTTCCTTCATCTTTTCCACTAGGAACCTAGGTTATATCATCTTGTGACCACTTTCCTAAATTGTAATAGCTTTCCAGAGTGGTGATTTGGTAGAATGGACTCTAGACCAGATGGTAAATTACTAACCATGCATTTGAGGCAGGCTGAAATAGACCATCATTCAAGGAGCTATTTTTTCCCTCCACATTTGGCAGAGGGTATTTCTGGTACAGAGAAACATCCCTGTTCTTAGAATGAACAATTTTCAAATATTTATTGTTTGGTTTTAGACTTACATCTTCTGAAATGCACAGCCTATAGTACTCAAATTTTAAATTAACATGGCTCACTTTCTAGCAATTGGTAGATAAAAATGTTGATCTGGTGAATTACTTTGAGATAAAACTTCTGATTTTCTTATTTTACAGATCAGTGGCATAGAATTTTATCACACTATCACCATAAACCACAGTTTTCTCTTGAGAAATACCCACTGGCTTTTGGAATATATTTTATTTTATAAAATATATAGTAAGAATGAAAAAAAAAAAAAGACACTGAAACATTCTGGGGAAAGTATCATTTTTTTCTCAAGGGCAAAGTCTGCTTAGAAGGAAGTCATTATACAGGACTTAATTCTCTGAAGGTTCTTAGAGACATTAGTGTATCAACTCCATTTTTATTAAATAATACTAAAATAAGTAAATATAATGTAATGTAATATAGTAAGTATTATATAATATATTAATATAGTACATAAGAATAATAAAGTAAGTACTGATATTTTTTGCTGGAAAACTTTTGGTAGTGGGGGCGGTCCTGTGTACTATAGGATGTTTAGAAGTGTCCTTGGTCTCTACCCACTAGATTATCAGTTAGCACCTACTCCAGACAATGCCAAATGTCCCCCTAGGGGCAGAATCACCACTGTTATAAAAGAACCAAAGATCTGAATTGAACCAATCAAACAAACAAGTAAGAACATGCCTAGTTTAATGGAAGCCTGTCAAAATATTAAAAATACTGAGATTTTATTCTTTCTTCATCCACATGCAAAAATTAGAGACAAATCATAAAGCACAAATTCTAATAACTTCCTATTAAATAAAAAACATGGATACATTCACTTACTTTGATCAAAAAAAATTTTTTAAAAACCAGTATTGGCTCTCCATTGTCCTTACATAGGTTTTTATGGTATCATCATACTATACACTCTGATTTTACATTCCTATTTTTTAATAATTTCCAGGTAGAATATCAGGCAAGTTTTACCACCTATACTCAAACTATTCTGTTGTTTTAAAGACAAGGACACCACACTAAAATAAATTGGAGAGAGTTAAAAATTTTCTGTTATGTTTATCTCTGTAGCAAGACAGGGTCCCTGGGCAAGAGGATGAAGTCAAGAAGGTGAGGTGATGTAGTAACAGTGGCGCAGGAGTGCTTGATGGGTATACTCAGAGAAGGTCGGAGAGGACTGTCTCTTAAGTCAACGCTATTCAGCTACATGAACACCAAAGACAGAGTAAGACCGAAGAGAGAGAGAGACAGACACACACAAGAGGTATACTTTACCATCCCCAGGGATGATGCGGAGGGTGACTGTGTTGCCCGCTTCCTTGATGAGGTTGACAATGTCAGAGTGGGATTTGTTGGTGATGGAACATCCATTTACTGCCAAGATCCGGTCTCCTACTTTCAGCTTGCCGCATCGGTCAGCAGGGCTCCCCTCAATAATCCGACCTATTTTGTGAGGCATGGCCACACATGCATTGCCTGCTTTGATAGTCAGTTTTAATTTTTTTTTTTTTTAACGTTACATGGGAATAGAGTGAAGGGAGGAGAAAAAGGGTTGAAAAGGGAAAGAGAAGGTTAAGTGTTAATTAATTAAAGCATTAAGCAAATGTTATTAAAGGAGAACTCTGTGCCGAGGGTCAAAACATTGGCAAAGTTCCGGGCATTTGTGTAAGAAGTTACAGTCCTAAACGTTCATCGTTGCAGTCCTTTCCCGATTTAAAACGAGGGGGACACCCCAGCTTTCCTCTTTCTATCAGTGGCAAAATTTGGGATCTTTAGCAATTTCCAAAGATTCTCAAGAGCCCCCAGAGTAACTTGCCATGGGCTTATTTGAGGACTTCAAACATGAAACCCAGAGCTGGGATGGAAGCTTTTGCACATTCTGTGTTCATGTCACTTCATTTTTGCCAGATGTTGCTTAAGCTTCTGCCAATGTTTTGTTCTTTCTCCATTTAGAAAAAACAATCACTGGGTGTCTAGTGAGGTCAGAGAGTCCACCAGTGCCAAAAATCCAATCTGAAAACACCTAATAGACAAACACTTAGACTTTCTGCCTGCTATGCAGCATGATGAAAGCTTTAGCAAAGGGGCATAATTACAAGATGAGCCAAGAAAGCACCCAACCTTGACACGCATTTTTCCTTTTATGACCTTTGCTCAGCTGCTCTCGTGGGCTTTTAGAGAAGAGCCCAAATGGCTCATTAGCTCTGATATCCTCCTTCTTCCTCATAGAAATCCCCTCAAAGCCATAAGAAAATCTAGTACATACTCAGACTGAGGACAGTGATCTGAAGCTAGGTTCAAATCATTCCTCAACCCTTTTTCTTTAATCATTTCCTTTGTCCTCCTCAGTTACTATACAGCTCAGACAGGAAAAATCAGGGAAAGTGCACTTGAAGAAGATGTGCTCTGAGGCACTTCATGTCACAACCAAGAGTAGCTGGTAACTTTTAGAAGAGAGGTGGAAAATAGGCTTTGAGGCCTGATTGGGGTTTCCAGATACTTGCATACTGAGTTGTAAACCTTCTTGGGCATGTCCACTGATTTTGAGAGTTTGTCTTTCTGTAAAGATAGTTACATAGTTGAGCCATCCTTTGGGAAAAGGTGATAAAATTAACATGGGAAACCCTGAAATAGAAGGCTCTTCCATCCTAATTCAGAGTGTGAGGATAAAATGTATGGGAAATGAGCTGCAATTCCTTTGAATTTCAGCGTATTTGCCTGAGTCTGTATCACTGGATGTTAAGGTTAAGGTTAAATAATTTTTCAAAAGAGAGTTAAAGAGTCTTCTGGAAAGCAACAAGCAGGTGTGATGGAAAGCCTCCATACTCAAATTCAAGGTCTTGATTAAGTTTAGCCCATCTCCAAGGACAAGTCCCATGGGAAAGGTATCATATATAGCAGGTGGGAGGAAAGCTCTGCATAGCTCAGAAGAGAAGTCACATGCCAGGTATTAGGGAAAGTTTAATTTGTTCATTGTAAAAGTTGGAGGAAAACAATCAAAGACCAAATTGTGAGTGAAGACATTCGATATCTGTTAAACCACAAAACCTCCCACCAGACACATCTGTTATTTCATTCTAGAAGGGGAAACTGAGAACTCAGATTCTGAGAATATCACCAGGTGCATAGGGACAAACTGCAGATCTGAAGAAGATAACTTGAGATGTCTTTGTCCCCTCTGGTTTTCTTTTTATTTTTAAATTGGGCAGAAAAGTCTTCAAAACTAACGGAGAAACAAACCAAAAAACCACCCTGCCTTGAGGTCAAGTCACCCACCACCCACGACATGCTGTGATAATGCTATTAACAGAGTTCACAGAGGCACTGTTAGTAACGGGTGTTTGTTATTGCAGCCACACATGCACAGACCTGGCTTGACGCACTGTCCCCCTCAAGTTTGCACCTTAAAGGGACATGACTTTAGCAGGAAGCAAAGTACCAAGACTAAACAGAGACAAGCGGAGTTGTACCAGAGCAGAAATCCAATAGGGCGGAGCACCTAGCCGATGTTAGCCAGCAAGCGACCTGGACCACTGGTCCTCAGACTCTGTGTGCAGGTCATTTGGAGACAGAGCTGAAGCATGTTTCAAAGCCTGCACAGCCCCTCCCGTCTCCCATCGTATTCCATATAACTAACAAATGTGCTTGGAGAAAACAACAAATGACACTTTATTTAATGAAGAAGGTGGATCAGTTCTGGAGTACATACTTATGATCCATTTTAATAGGAAGACTCATGATTCCTAGTTCCTAGAATCACCTGGCTTCCTATTTGTCTCAGCCCGTGCACCCTGCAGAGGGTGGTAGTTGTGTTTCTCCAGTCTCTGCTGAAACCCCCAACATCTGGATGAGACAGGAGAACCACCCCTGCAAGAATTCAAGGGCAGTGAAGACAAACAGCTCTGCACTCAGATTTTAATTAGATTCTCCACCAGCCAACAGTAAACATATTATTTTAAATTAAAATTTAAAAATTTCAGATGGAGATAGGTAGAGTAGAGGCAGGACACAGATAAGATGGAAAGGGCATTGCATGTATATTTTTTACTCCTCACACCTCTATTTTTCCCCCCAGACATTTATTTCTACAACCATATGCTTCTTTTAAAAATGTGGAGACCTTCTGAGACAACTGCTATGATTGATACTCTGCTCAGGACCTTGCAAAGGTCTCTCTATGGCAAGAATTTTTCACACTTCATCCTGTCAAGGGGCTTCTTTGCAAATGTCACCTATGCATGAAGTTGTCTGCCTGTGAATGTGCTATCAGAATGGAAGCTGAAGAGTTAAAAAAAAAAAAAAATCCCAACCTTCAGGAGGGGAAAAGCTACCCAATAAAGTCCGTCCCCAATTAAGACTTTCATTACCTGAAGCAGAAAGCATGACAAGCATTTCTGTTAATGAGATTCTGGCTCGTCTTTCCCTCTCCAGAGAACAGTCACCCCAGGAAACGCTGGGGAGCAGAAGTGACCACACTCACCGAACGTCGTGCCGGCCTCGGGCCTGCTCACCGACGACACGATGACAAAGCCGAAGCCCTCGTTCTCGCCGCGCCGGATCTCCACGTCGTAGGGCTGGACCACGGTGCTGACCACACCGCTGCCGCCGCCGCCGCCACTGCCGATGCCACTGGTGCTGCCACTGCCCGAGCTCACCGTGTTCAGCGAGTTCTGGCTGCCCTGCGGGGTCCGCTTCTCCTCCGTCAGCGAGGCTGGCTGGTTGCTACTGTGATGGGATGAGGCTGGCGAGGGCACCTCATTCTCGGTTTTGGGGGCTGTGCAAGAGACGTACCTGTTGGTTACCTGCCTCTGCAAGAAATGTGCCCTGTCAGCCCTTCCTCCTTCCCCCATCCACTCCACATCCAAATTAAGAGAGTGACAGCTATGACAGCACCTGGCCTCACATAACTGAGACACAGGAACTGAAAACCACTCTGATAAGTATTTACCATTCAAGATCTACAGACATCGATACCATGGGAGAACAACAAAGGGGACACCCAGACTCTGTTACATTTAGGGCATGCTGTGTATCAGCATCTGTATTTGGATTCAAATCTGCAGTAAGACTAGCCCACTCTGAAGTATTTCCTGCTTTATAGGTTGAAAAATGACCCCTTGACATTATGCTAAGTGAAATAAGTCAGACAGAGAAAACAAATATTGTATGGTATCACTTAAGTGTAGAATCTAAAAAATACAACCAACTAGTGGATTAACAAAAAAGAAGCAGACACACATACAGAGAACAAACTAGCAGTTATCAGAGAGCAGAAGATGGGGGGAAGGGCAGTATAGTGGTAGGGGAGTAAGAGGTACAAACTATTAGGTATAAAATGAGCTATAAGGATATATTCTACAATGTTCCAATGTAGCCAGTATTTTATAATAACTATAAATGAGCTTCCCTGGTGGCTCAGATGGTAAAGAATCTGCCTGCAATTTAGGAGACCTGAATTTGATCTCTGGGTTGGGAAGATCCCCTGGAGAAGGGAATGGCTACCCACTCAGGTATTCTTGCCTGGAGAATCCCATGGACAGAGGAGCCTGGCAGGCTATACAGTCCATGAGGTTGCAAAGAGTTGGACATGACTAAGCGACTTTCACTTCATTTCACAAATGGAGTATAGCCTTTAAAAATTGTGAATCACTGTATTATACACTTGTAACATATATAATATTGTACAGCAGTAAGACTTCAATGAAACAAACAAAAACAACCCACTGAAGGAAGCATAAGATGTGGTCCACCATCTTTGCCTCAGAGACGTATCTGCGTTCAAGTTGTCATTACCCTCAAGTCATATTTCTGCTTAGCTTTGCAAAGTTTTGCTTCTGCTTTTTCCATCAGAGAGACTATAAGTTGACAGCACCATTATGATGTCCCTACTACAGGATTCCTGACAACACCTGTCAGAGGTATACTTCAGTTTTCTCCCCAGCTTCCAGATGTCAATGATCCACTCTGATCACACAACTGGATACATTAACCTCCCTCAGAATTCACTTTATCAAATTCCAGTTTTATTGCTTTATTAAGTGACAGGGTAAACCACTCCTAGATAGCCACAAAAGTGGGTGGGACCACTTATTTTTCATGCCAAAAGCAAAATATGGGTTCAGATTTTGGATAGGACTACTAAATTTATTCCCTAAAGCATCTCCTTTCATAGATTCCATTTTATGGTAGGAATATACAGAACCTAAAACTCATTACTGTAAGCATTTTAGATATATACTTCAGTGGCATTAAGTATAGAAACACAGTTGTACAACCATCTCCACCAGCTATCTCCAGAACTTTTCATCTTCTGAAACTGAAGTTTTGTATCTTTTAAACACTAATCTCTTTCCCTGGCAACTAATCACTAATCACCAACGCCTGGCAGCCACCATTCTTTCTGTCTATATATTGACTACTCTAGGCACCTCATGGAGGTAGAAGCATATCATTTTTGTCCTTTTGTGACTGGCTTATTTCACTGAGCCTTATGTCTCTCCAAAGATTTAATAGGCCTTTTTACCCAAGAGCTTAAAACCCCCAATATTTAAGATTTTAAAAAATAAATCTGAAACAAACAAAAATCTCATTGCTCTATTATTTTTATTTGGACCAGTGAAATAAAAAGTCTTCAACTCATCTTAAAAGTCATTTCTGATTGCTGTTGGCTACATGGGACAGTACGTTATCCTGATGCCATAAATGAGCTCTCAGGACATAAATGATTAACACTGCTTTCCATGGCGGCAATAGGTATTAGGGCTCTCACACTGGACCCTGATGTCTTAATTCTTTTGAAATTAATAATATACCGTTGAAGTGAGTTCTACTAATTTTTCCTAAACAAGGAGCCAGTTGATTTTATTTGATAAGTAGCTGTTTCACTAGTACTATAGCTATGGAGAGTTCATGAAATTTCATGCCATACTTTTTCAGTAATTCCACTGATATAACATGGAATTTCTTTCTTCTGCATTCTGGGTTGTCTTGAATACCTGGAGGTGGGGGCTGCCAACAAAGGTGATGGATGAAATGAAAGGAAGACACTCAATGGACTGTCTCAAAATGGCAGATCCTAACACAGAAGTAAACCATGATTCCCAAGGATGATAAGAAAGTAAGGCTAAAATCAGCAGGTAGTTGGAGGGAGTAGAGAATTGCCAAGGGTTTTGAGTTAAGGATGTACAGGACTCCCAGGTGTAGAGGAAGAAATCAAAGATAACCTGAAACTGGCTAGCCATACGGCTTTCTTATAGAGAAAAAGTAAAAAATTAAAATAGTTTAATACATATGGCTGTCAACAACAGAGCAACTTTTTTATAAGCTTATTTGGCAGCATGAAACTGATTTTTGCTCTCCTATTTGGGTGCTACAATTCACCTGTCACAGTGACCTCTTTTGTTGAGAATTCTCATCAAATGAAGACAATGACTAAGTTCTGGTTGGCAAGGGGATGGAGGGGCATAACATATATATTCAACTAGCTTTATTCTAAAAGCCTTTGCTGGATATGCATGGCTGGCACATTAAAGTACTTTTGAGTGACAGTAGTTTTGGAGGGTTTGAGAGAAGTAAACCATCTGGAAATTCTGTGCTTAATCACATTTGCAAACATTTGCTAAAATAGATGCTTGAGGAGGCAGACATAGGAAGGGGGCCTCTTCTGTGCATAAAGTGACAAGGCAACGTCTAAAGGAATGAATGAAAACCATACCAGCAAACACCACTTTACGCCGCACTGTCAGATTGACGTGGCCTTGCTTGGCGGCTTGTTGCATAAGCTGGACCACAAGCTGGTGTGATTTTCCAATGACTGGTGTCCCATCCACACAGATTAATTCATCCCCAGACCTCAGACGGCCGTCCGTATCAGCAGCACCCAGTGGTACGATGTGACCGATATAAATCTGTTGAGTAATTAGATGATAGATGAAACACTAACCTTTTGGTTTACTGTTACAGGCACACCTCGGTGATATTGTGGGTTCAGTTCCAGATCACCGCAATAAAGCAAGTATCACCACAAAGCAAGTCACATGATTTTTTTCCCCTGTGCATATAAGTTATGTTTACCCTATCCTATGCTGGTAGTTTTGATTTCCCAAGTGGCATTAGTGGTAAAGAATCTGCCTGCCAACTCAGGAGACCTAAGAGAGATGGACTCAAACCCTGAGTCAGACAGACCCCCTAGAGAAAAAAATGGCAACCTGCTCCAGTATTCTTGCCTGGGAAATTCCATGGACAGGGGAGCCTGGTGGGCTACAGACTATGGGGTCACAAAGAGCTGGACATGACTAAGTGCTCATACAAACACAGATACTGTAGTGTAGTAAGTGTGTGATAGCATTATGTCTAAAAAGGTACATACCTTAATTAAAAAAAAAATTACGTGTTAAAAAATGCTAACTATCATCTGACAATGGAAGGTTGGCACCAAACTTCAACTTGTAAAAAAATGTAATTTTTGCAAAGCTTAATAAAACAAGGCTTGTCAGTGCAATGATGGCCTTCACATCTCTGAGCAAAATTCAGTCCATTCATTTGTGTCTGCATCTGTGCCCCTCACTGGGTTCTAGCTGCTGTGCTAGATGGTACAATAATTCTTAAATGGTGGAAAAAAATAACTTTTTGTTGTTTGGTTCCTTGACATTTATCTGTGGTTTGCTGATGACTCATTCTTTTTTCCCCTTTGCAGAAATCAATCATTTTACTACCTTCATGGGCAAAACTTTTTCTCCTTTTCTATCTACCTATAAGCCTTCTATTCAGAAAATTCTGCTAAGTATAACAGTAATACAACTTTTCTTTAAAGGTCAGCATGTGCCTAGCAATAGGGAATGCATGATAAATATTGTTAAACGAAAGGGTGAATCAAGCAAAGTCTGGTTGGGCATCCCTATTTCCATAGTCTATAGCACTGGCATGCAGAGCAGGTATTGTTATATTAACCAATCACTGAACTTCACAGGTGGCACAGTGGTAAAGAATCTGCCTGCAATGCAGGAGACACAAGAGACACAGGTTTGATCCCTGGGTCGGGAAGATCCCCTGGAGAAAGAAATGACAACCCACTCCAGTATTCTTGCCTGGAAAATACCACGGACAGAGGAGGCTGGTGGGCTACAGTCCATGGAGTCGCAAAGAGTTAGACACAACTGAGAACTGAGCACATCACAAACTTTAGCTAAAACATCTATGTTTTCCTTCCCTTCTCACTAGGTAATAATGTACAATGGTCTTCATGTGACATGTATCTTTTACAAAAAACTTTGGTAGAAAAGTGGTTAAGAATATGGACTCTGGAATCACAGCCTTTCCAGTCCCTCCATTTACTAACTCTGTGATCCCAGGCAAGATCACATCAACTTTTCTGTGATTTCATGATTTGAAAATGGGGGTAAATTCATAGATTTGATGCATACATGAGAAGGATGTATGTTAAAAGCCTTTAGCATAGCAACTGGCACATAGTAAGCACATAAAAAAAATGATAACTATTTTTTATTATGATGAGGAAAATTTGAACAATACTTATCTTTAGTTCTTTTTTTCCCCTTTCAAAAGAATCCCGTGGTGGTCTCCTCAATGTATTCTAAAGATGAGGCCCGGAGAGATTAAATGTCTCCTGATCCTTGTTCAGGATTCTTTCTCTAATTTTGTAAAGAGTGGTCCTACTTTCTCTAATCTCTCATAATGCCTTGTCAAGTGCCTTCTAAGTCCTAGCTGCTCAATATACAAAGCCAACGACCTGCTGGCAGATTTAGCAGAACTGGCCAGAAGGATCAGGCCATTGTGTTCTCACCTGATGTCTATTCCTATTTTGCTTTTTTTGGTTTCCGTTTCTTTGATAGGGAGCTACAGATGCTGCAGCTGCCACCCTCCACAAACATGAATACACACTTTTTAGAAAGGATATAGTCTCTTCTTCCTCAAGACAGAAAGAGCTTCACAAAATCCAAAGAATAACTCCCACTGGTTAAGATGAAAGAGCCAGAGAAGATACATATATATATAAATATAACTGAATCACTTTGCTGTATAGCAGAAATTAACACCAACATTGTAAATCAAACTTTTTTTTTCCCCTCCAAAAGATGAAAACAGTTTTGGGTGCACCTAGTGGGACTCAAATCTTGGTGATCTGTCACTGATGCCAGTTGCTTTTGAATTCTTAGAAATTAGTACTGTGAGGGACAGGACAGGGCAGGGAGACAAGAGACTCACAGGTTCCCCTGGTTCATTGCCACCCAGAATCCTAAATCCAAATCCGGTCTCTTTTCTCCAGAGGAAGATGTCCTGTTCTTGATAATCTGGAACTGCAGAGAAGGGAGAGGAACAGAGAGATTATTTCTGTGAATAAAAGAATCAGAGCCCTAAGGCGAACACAGTGACAGGACCAATACTGATGGTGCTTGAATGGACGACAGCTTTCAAACACAGACAAGCAAACAAAATAATCTGGACAGGTGAAATAAAAGAGGACAGTGAGCAGAAACAAATGGTGGGGACAGTCATTGAGCCTGAAGTGTTTTTTTTTTTTCCAAAGGACTAATCACTGTTTGATAATTCCTCATCAAGAAATTATCCCTGATGAAGGCTGCAGTCAGCGCTCGCCACTCTCCTGGGTATTGTTCCAAGAGGAATTTAGTAAATTAAAATTATCATGCTCTGCACCACAAAGCGGGTGCCCATATCTGAGGAAGGAGTTCATGCTAAGTCAGACTGACCTCTGATGCAGAGGCGGGGGACGAGGATTCAGTAGACCTGTTAAGTGCCAATGTTATCAACTACAAGATGAAAAAAAACTTATGGCAAAAACTATTAAAAAAAAATTCACTTCTGTTTTTCCCTAAAGTAATTAAGACTAGCACACTTATAATATGATCTGTTAGGTCATTTTTGCCAACAAGTTACTCTCAAACATCCTAATATTTCCCAATTTAGAACATTTATTATGATTTCACTACTATTACCAAAAAGTAGCCAGCCTTCTATATCCTTAAGATCAATGGGGACAACAAACTGTTCTACGTAAATGAACTATATTTCATCACTAAATGAGTTTTTTACTCCATGATTTGCCTATAATATTTCAACACTGTAAGTACTAATTTATTATCCAATAACGATATTTTACTTTCAAAACGCAGTAATAGTTCAGGGTTTTGAAATGGAAATCTCATTTTTTTGTTTAAAGAAAAGTAATTTCCTTAAGACCATGCTTACTGTACATGAGACTGTCCTATACACCATTATGACTTAACTAAGGAAATAAAAAAGGGTTATTCCTATTTAATTCTTACTTAATATTTTAGTGTATTTGTAGTGTGTTTTATAGTCTATAAAATGACAAATCTTTTATTTAAAGAGAAAAAAAAATTTAGTGGCTGTGAATCCTAAAAGAGATTCTCAAATACTGCTCTGCAGAATTTCTTTAATTCCTTGGCTTTGGGGCTGAAGGAGTGTGTAGATACTAAGAATTTAATTTCCAACTTCTCTGATTTTGTACAATGGGATAGGAAAGAAGAAGGTGGTTGTTCAGATTTCAAGCAGGTGACAGATGTCCCATTTTGGGGACTCACCCATGAGCTTAACATGTACAGTGAGTGAATATGCCAAGAGAGAGGAAACTAAATGAACAGGTAAATACAAGTCAGAGGAGTCTGAATCCAATATTTGTGCTTGAGCTACCTTAATGCTGTGCTTTCAATGAATCTTCTTATCCAACGCATTTTTATAATTGCCAGGGCTAAGCTGTAAGACGCCATGGTACATGGAGTTAAGCTACATCACAGTACTCTCAGAAACATAATTTGAGAATGATATTTTCTTGAGCGTGCTAAGGTAACAATATTTTCTTTCTGTTTGAGTAGCTGGCTAAAGGGTATTTGCTGTAATAGCCTCATTGAAACAACAAATTAAATCAAGTTGAGTCTCCATCTTAGGTTCACTCAAGCAGGAGGATTATTACCAAAATAGACCATGGGTGCTTTCCAGCCAATACAAGGTTCTTGGCAGAGTCTGCCTGAAAATAGCTGAACTTTTCTGTGAACAAGGAAACACCTCTGCAGAGACCTCCAGCCCAGACCAATTTTTATTTTTATTGCAGCATCATTTAACACCAGAACACTTGCCCATCCTATAGTGACACCAAATGTAGCAACGGACTTAGGCTTATCAAACAGTTTAACCCACTGGAAAAAAACTTGTTCTCAGAAATAAGCAAATGACAAATTTACTTAAAGAGTGTCGGACTGAAAATGAAGACACCCAATGACAGACCCCAAAGATGCAGAAGACGCTAACAATGAACCTTCAGGAAAACACACACAAACACAGATAAGTTACAAAGAAAGTCTTTTGGCTCTTGAACTTGAGCATTTTGACAATTATGTTCTTCTACCAACCAAATACTATGTACCAAACACAGAACTTTGGTGATCAATCAGTACTGAAACATATCACAGAATTATTTTATCTTCTCTGTCCTCTGCTGCCTCTTATTCCCAATGGCATTAAAGTTTCTAAACTACTCCCCCTGCCAAATGTTTTTCTGTTCTCTTCTTTATTTTAGGAAGATTTTATTAGCATTAAGTTTTTAGGAGGTAGCAGGGTAGAACCAACTTTCTGATATTACTATCAACTTTTTATTTTCCCAGTCTAGATCAAGAAGAGCTAGGAAAATCTCATCCAGCTCTTTACTTCTAAGCCCTGGCACATGAGACAGGAAGAGTAGCTCATTCGCTCTGGTAATTCTACCAACAACCCAACAGAGCAGTCAAAAGACTTCCTTTGATAATTAGAGACAATGGAATCACCAGGTCTGCAGAGAACCATCCTGGTGTCTCCATCACTACAGACACACAACGTATTTGCAGACTTGGTTACAACATGCCTATCACTCTTTACTTCCTTGTCTTTGATCTAGGCTTGGTCAACAAGAAAGTCCCAAACACTTCAGTTCCTGGCATCCCTCTTTCTTCCCTCCTTTTCCTGAGTTTGTTCCCACCCCCGGACCAATGGGCACATCAAACAAGATGAATAATAATAGAGAAATGAAAGTTTTCAGTGGATCCTTACTCTGACATTCTCCAAAATTCGTGGAATTGATTTCTCTCTCTCTTTCACCCTTGCTCAATCCCGATGCAGGCGAAGGTGACATAGCTGGAATATTAATGTCACAATTTTGCAAAGCTTAATGTATGTGCTTTCTCTTACTTCATTTTAATTTAGTTTTGATTGATAAGGAATGTGCAGTTAAGCTTTCACAGTAAAGGTCAAGGCTGCTGTGGATTTTAAAAGACTGTAGTTTGAGTCTTTTCTTTTTCATGGTACTTTTCTTGTCAAAAAGCTAGAATTTACAACTGTACTATTGAGACTTTCATTGAACCAGCATTACCATCTTAAGACTCTTCCTATTTAATTATACTCTAAAGTACCCATTCTCATATGACCTTGTTTGAATCATGTCATGAACTTGAGATTTATCTAAACCACTTATTTCCTTTTGAGAAAAATGTAAGCATGCTTTTGTCATTTAAAATAATATCAAGTTTCTGATGGAATTAATTCTTGGACTAATACCTGTTCAGATGTATTCTTGGCAGTTCAACCAAAATACTCTTTTATTTAGTGACACAAGTCATCAGATCTGGCCAAGAGCTGAACAAATACACAAGTAAGAACTGTCACAATCGCTCTTAAAATCTAGAGCTTCCAAGCTTCTTAAACCATGATAAAGGAGCTGTACACCAATTCGAGCTCAGTAAGCATGTCTCTCAAGGGACAGGTGTACGCTGGTTAATATGACAGCTTTGTCATTTTTTCTTTCCCAACTCTCTTGTGAACAGGTAAAGTTTCAAGTGAAAGCTTTAGATTTTCTTTTGTAGTAAACACTAGCGGATACCAGCTGCTCTTCCTGAACATTTACAAATAATTGACTTCATCAATGTCATTTTTTAAAGATATGCACAACTGCCATGTAATCTAGAAAAAATACAAAACAGGCAATGTGGCTTTTAAGGGACTTCCATGCTTGTTTTTAACTGAACATTTAAGTTCATCAAAGGGATTTATTAACACATCTGTAATTCAGACTTATTCATCTGGACACTGATGTTTTGACAGATGGCCATATTAAGAATGTGGTATTCACAGCATTCAGACCACGTGAAGGAACTGGATCAGACACTTGGTTAAGAATCTTCACACTGCCCCTCACAATAAAACAAAATATAAGGAAAATATATTTCCCCCTCAAAAGGGGGATAAATTAAGGGTACAAGAAGGTGCTACCACTGACTTTAATTTTCTTGTTTTTCCTGGAGTACTTTGCCTTGCGGGGAGGGGCAGGGAATCACACCTAATGAGGCTACATGTTGTAATTTTTCCTTTTTTCAAAAAAGCAGATTAAAAAAACAGCCTGTGGGAATGGCAGAAACTGATCTGGAATAAAGCAAAATACTGATTAAAGACAAGACTAATGTAGGTTCATTCAATAGGTACTGTGAAGAAAAAAAAATCTGTGATACATACTGAGTAACTATCATGGAGAGAGAAATCTTATCATTACCCTCATTTAGTCGTAAGGAAGAAATCCATCTGAATTTTAACATCAATTAGGTTCTACAATCGCTCAATTATGGAGCCTCTAATCACCAAAAAAAACCCAAAACTGCTTCTTGTTTGTGAGAATGAGACATCCTTAGATGTCCTAGAAAGTCAAGGCCTAAAGAGGCACCATTCCAAATGTTTCAGTCAGCTTCTCATTGTAGGTTTTGAGCAGCTGGCTATGGCAGAATTACAGTTTGTTTGTTTTCTTTTCCTGGTAAAAACTTCTTAAAAAATTAAATACCAAAGTCTTGATATAACAGAAATACCACTTGATATAATAGCAATACCATTTCTATCAAGGTAAAAATGGCATCTGAGCTAGAGCCTCATATTCCTTCAGTGTGTTAGAATTGTCTGTCAATCCATGTAGCCCTCACCAGCACGTCAGGACACAAATTGTTTTACTGCAAAAAGATTCATACATGGGAAACTCAGTCATAAATGTGTACTCTATTGAGAAAAGCAGGGACAAGGTCAATAAAGCAGTATCTCCACATCAGGTGAAGTTGGGTCATTGATTGGAGGAGCTGTGTGCTTGGAAATGTGAAGGGAATGTGAACATATTCCTCTTTGAAAAACATTTCTTCAATGAAATCATTACAATCAATGAGAAGACACAGTAAGAACAGACGCCAGGTTCATGCTTAGCAATACTGCTTACAAGGGATGCTCCAAATGGAACTTCATTTCTTCTGGCCTGAAGTCAGGCATACTCCAGGGGTCTTTCTAGTCCAGAGACTAAATAAATCCTTCTCAAATTATCGGGCTTTTGCCAGCATAGTGAAGCCTTAGCCAAAAGAGTGTACTTAATTCCACATACTACTATAGTGAGAAGGTAATGATCTCTCTCCCTTGAAGAGGAAAAGGAGACAGGCGAACCCCTGAAAACTTCTAACACTTGACCATCACCAAGACAGGCCTTGTGTCCCCGAAGTGCTGACTTTCACCCAGCAGCGTGGCCTGCTTTCAGACAGGGTTGCTGGGTTCAGTCCCCTGTTTGGTTTGGGTCACAGAGGAGCTGCTTCAGCCAGCAAGGGAATTGCTTCCTGGCCAAGTCCAAGGGGGTGGGCAGCAGGCTGCAGCACTTCCCATACCCCCATCACCTCTATGTCTTGTCTCTCCAGAGGGCTAAACTGAGAGAAGGCCAGCTGTGACTCCAAAGGACACTTATGCTGAGGGGAGTGGGGGCCAGGAGGATGGACAGAATGACTCCCTTCTCTATTCCAATTTTAATCAGACTCTTCAGCAGACCCTTGTTAAACATGCTCTCCTACCCAATGACAACAAAGTGCATGTACTTTATAGTTACTTTGTCCTGACCACACTTATGGAAAAAATGTCAGTAAAATCAACAGCTAAAAAAAATCAGATGACAGACAGAGCCTCAGTGAATATCTAGCAGATTCTATCACTGCTCTGAGATGCTGTCACCTTTCACCTGGATTCATCTCTCTCCTGTTCACACACTGACAATCTATTCTCAATAACCCTCAAGACAGAGTTGGAGCACCAAGATGGGGTCCAGGCAAGACAGGAGCCAGGGTGCTACTCACGTCGATTTTCATACATGCTCCTGGACTGGGCCCAGATTTTAAAAGGATCTGGTTTTTTCTGCCCAGAATTGTCGGTCTGATCTGGAGCCGGGGCCTCGGCGGGTGGGAACTCGGGCAGCACCTGTGTGCTGTGGCTGGGGGAGGCAGTGTGCAGGCTTCGGTGGCTGGCGACACTATGCTGGGAGCTATTCTGGCTGTCTTTTCTTTCCAGTGGTTGCTGAAAGGAAGCAAGTGAGAGGGGCAAGAAGAGATTATTATTGGTTCCCTGAGTGGGTGTTTTCCATCAGCTTGTTTTTGTTCACCACTTCTGTGCACACATACATAAATTTATCAACAACATTTTGGCTTCCACCTTCATCGGGCTCATGCTGAATGCAGATAAATCTCCAGGTGACTGACAGACTGATAGAGGGGTGGGCCAGATAGAAGGACATCATCACAAAACATACTGCTTTCAGGGCTGGAGCAGAAAACAAATCAAATTTCCATCACAGGTTCTCAGCTAAGACACCAGGCTTGTTTATTATGAGATGTATCTGTTTTAACATCTTCATTTTTTTTAATTACAAAGAATTTTATTCAGTAGTTAAATCTTTCCATCTTAATACTTGCATAAACATCGTCATTTTTAAACAAAACATCTGACAGAAAATATCACTCATGGTTTAAATAGGAGGCTAAAATATCCAAGAAAGTAAATCAGGGCTAACAAGGTTCCTTCAGACCCTGCATTTTCCATCTTTCAATAATAAAACACCCAACCTCTAGTTAAGGGTTTACTATCAGTCTTTCTAGTCTGTAAGAAACAAGGATCAGATCTTTAAAAAAGAAACCATGCCTAGCATTATGTGTGTGCTTGTACTTATAACTATATAAATAACTACTATCTGAAGAGCTCTCATAATTCTTAGTGAATCAGTTTTGTAGGCATCACATTTCACCTCTGATCTCCTGATAACTGTTGGTTGAAAACCAAGATCCAACTTTATATATGGGTTGACCTCCAAGGCTCAGCCTTCTTAGATGCGCAGTAACTTGTGCAAACTCCAAGCAGTAGTCAAAGGCACAGAGTTTCACTTGAATTTCAGTTAAAATAAGCAAGTTTCCTGTTCCTTAAAATCTGCTCAGCAAAATACCCTTCCCATTTTACGAGATGCTCTTTGTCGGAAGGACCACTGAAGGGACAGCAAAATCTAGTGGGAGGAAAAACACTGGATGGGAAATAAAATAATTTCTGCTCTTATTTTCTCCAGTGAAACATGTGATAAACCCAGGTGTGTGTTCTCCTCATTCAAAAAAAAATCCGGGAGTCCTGTTTCTCATACAACAATGTCACTACACTTATAGTAAAAGGGCATCTCCAGCTTGTGTTATAGATTCCGTGTAGCCTATCAAGTAGTTTATAAGATCTCTGACCTAGACATTCCAGTTCCCTAATGTTCTTATAGTATCAAACTCTTGCCCTTGGTCTCGCAAAAGTCCTATCACATTGTTCTTCCTTGCTCTCTCCCCAGGCAGCCTCCAACTTTTATTCCCATCTCAATAGAAATTTCCAAGGTCCCTCTCATTTACTTCTTAGGTCCCTCTACTCCTTCCCTTTCCAGTCCTTGCTTTGAAATAAGCACCAAAGTAAGGTAAAGGAGGACAAAAACGTAATGTTCCCTTCACTGTTCCAGATTACAGATTTGAAGATAGGTTTTAGTAAGGATTCAAAGTTGAGGAAAATGGGGCATGTGTTTCATGAAGGTAAAATACATGCTTTAAAATTATACTTGGTGTGGCCTGTGGGAGAAACATGAGGAACATATTCTAAACTAGCAAAGAAGTCTTGGGAACCAATGGTATGAGAGGCTTCATTCACTCAGACTCAAGGGAAAAGGTGATGAAGAGGTCAGGAAAACACACTGGCAAGGACAACCATCACCATTACCCCACATCACCATGCTCCCTTTTGAGGACCAAGGGCTCAGCTCAGACCTGGATGGATCAGCATTCCAAAGACTTGGGACAGAACCTGGTTCTGCCAACTTCCAACAATGTCCCCCACCAAGGTGAATTCAATTCTCAGGGCCAGGTATCCCCTTTCTATTTCCTGAGAAGGTCAATACTGCCTCCCTGCTTCCCCTAGAGACATGCTGAAGATGTTCAGAGTCAGAAAAATGTTAATGACAGATACGACTCCTATCCCCTTATACACAAGTATGGGAATGTTTTTCTCTTCACTGCAGTCTTCACAAGGGTCTCCATTATAAATAAATATGTGCAGTGTCAGTCCACTTTGGGTGTGTAAACATCCCAGCATAAACAGAAAATATGTTGGATTCAGGGGGAATTTTTCCCCCTCTTATATTTTCCTGAACTGCCTACTTCTTACTTGCATAATGCACAGAGAATGTTTTTATAATCTAGACCAAATGTAAACCTGTTTTCACTTAGAAATGAACCTTAGTAAGGGAAATTAATGGGACTGTAACTTTCTACTTTTTACAATTTTGTTTCTGCCCTCCTAGAAAGAGGTGGGGGAGAGGGCTTCCCTGGTGGCTCAAATGGTAAAGAATCTGCCTGTAATTCAGGAGACCAGGGTTTGATCCCCAGGTTGGGAAGATCCCCTGGAAAAGGGCATGGCAACCCACTCCAGTATTCTTGCCTGGAGAATCCCCATGGACAGAGGAACCTGGCAGGCTACAGCCCATAGTGTTGCAAAGAGCTGGAAACAACTAAGTGACTAACACATGGAAGGGGAGGAAAATAATATTTTAAAAGTGAAAGCAGCATGTATATTACCATATGTGAAAGAGATGACCAGTCCAAGTTTGATGCATGAAACAGGGTGCTCAGAGCTGGTGCACTGGGACAACCCTGAGGGATGGGATGGGGAGGGAGGCAGGAGGGGGATTCAGGATGCACACCCATGGCTGATTCATGTCAATGTATGGCAAAAACCACTACAATACTGTAAAGTAATTAGCCTCCAATTAAAATAATTTAAAATTATTTTAAATAAATTAAACTTAATTTTTAAAAATTAAAAAAATAAAATAAATAGCTGAATTAATAAATAAGTGAAAAACTTAAATAGGTAAAAGTGAAAGCAAATAATTCAATAGATGAAGAACCTCTGGGTTTACCATGAGAGTTGCATCCCTCTCTTCAAATGCCCTCCCTTTCCCGGTTTTTCAAACAAGTAGCAAATGCCAGATGTGGGTTCCGACCATTATCACCAAGTTCAGTTCACAGGTAGAGTATTCACAAGGGTCTCCATTATAAATAAATATGTGCAGTGTCAGTCCACTTTGGGTGTGTAAACATCCCAGCATAAACAGAAAATATGTTGGATTCAGGGGGAATTTTTCCCCCTCTTATATTTTCCTGAACTGCCTACTTCTTACTTGCATAATGCACAGAGAATGTTTTTATAATCTAGACCAAATGTAAACCTGTTTTCACTTAGAAATGAACCTTAGTAAGGGAAATTAATGGGACTGTAACTTTCTACTTTTTACAATTTTGTTTCTGCCCTCCTAGAAAGAGGTGGGGGAGAGGGCTTCCCTGGTGGCTCAAATGGTAAAGAATCTGCCTGTAATTCAGGAGACCAGGGTTTGATCCCCAGGTTGGGAAGATCCCCTGGAAAAGGGCATGGCAACCCACTCCAGTATTCTTGCCTGGAGAATCCCCATGGACAGAGGAACCTGGCAGGCTACAGCCCATAGTGTTGCAAAGAGCTGGAAACAACTAAGTGACTAACACATGGAAGGGGAGGAAAATAATATTTTAAAAGTGAAAGCAGCATGTATATTACCATATGTGAAAGAGATGACCAGTCCAAGTTTGATGCATGAAACAGGGTGCTCAGAGCTGGTGCACTGGGACAACCCTGAGGGATGGGATGGGGAGGGAGGCAGGAGGGGGATTCAGGATGCACACCCATGGCTGATTCATGTCAATGTATGGCAAAAACCACTACAATACTGTAAAGTAATTAGCCTCCAATTAAAATAATTTAAAATTATTTTAAATAAATTAAACTTAATTTTTAAAAATTAAAAAAATAAAATAAATAGCTGAATTAATAAATAAGTGAAAAACTTAAATAGGTAAAAGTGAAAGCAAATAATTCAATAGATGAAGAACCTCTGGGTTTACCATGAGAGTTGCATCCCTCTCTTCAAATGCCCTCCCTTTCCCGGTTTTTCAAACAAGTAGCAAATGCCAGATGTGGGTTCCGACCATTATCACCAAGTTCAGTTCACAGGTAGAGTAGGATTCAGACTCTGGAAGCTCTCACATCCTCTGTACAGAGGCTCCTCTTCACGGACCCTGTCTGGGACCCTGTGCAGCCCACCGCAGGATTAGCTGAGGGAAACCTCACACCCTTCTTCCTCCTGTCCTGGCGTTACTGTGTAACCTCTCGAAATGTAACCTCTTCCAATCACTGCCTCTTCCTGAACAAGAGAAAAGTCTCTTTCCCGCAGTCCTGTCCCACTGAAAGAGTTTGGACATTTCTCCAACAGAGAACACATGTGCTCTCACACACATGCCCACAAAGGCATGCACAGAGATTCCGTCCATCACCTCAGGGGTTTCCAAGACCCTCTGAATCCCAGTGTAACAGATCTGACATGGAGGATCTGAAAATCTTGTGTTTAACTGAAGAGACAGCCTCACTGTAACCAAAGAGTGCAAATGAAGTTTACTGGAAATGGCTTGGGCCATTTAAAAAATTTTATCACCTTTTCTCAACTTTCCCATAAAGGACACATTTAGGTCCAATTTATCACAAAATGACAGATATGATCTGGACTGAGTTTGCAAAACTGCTTCTCTATCAAACTGCATCTCTGCATCCCCTTTGAATCTCATCTAAACTTTGTTCCTAAATGTGGAAAATCAAAGCAAAGCAGCATCCTGAGAATATGCTCTAAAAACCATAACCATGCCACCACTAACCTATCACTAATTGGAATATTCTAACCTACCCTCAGGGGCTAAACATATGAGCATCTGGAAGCTTTTTGGACTTTTCCCTGATAAGATTTAACCTTGTTTTATTTTTCTTCTCAAGTTCAATTATAAAAATGACTTAATTTGAAGATGCATTCTGTATTTAATATCTTGACACCTAAGCTTTCTGAAGCTATGTTTGGTGGGTATGGAGAAGTTCAAAATATGCTTTTTTATTTTCTGAGAACATGTTAATTAGCTACAACATTGTCTTTT